TGAAACTGGGTGATACTTGAGTGACCGTTAGTGCATTTTTGTTACTTCTGTGACCGTTTTGACATTTTGGTATAACTTGAGTGGCTATTTGTGAAATTAACCCGTTAAAAATATAACATAAAAAAAGATTTTAAGGTAATTACATTCACACCACAATTTTTATTTCTTGCATCACTCTTAATTGTACTTAAGGTTCTTAATCTTTACTCGTTATAACATTTATGTCCCTAAGGATTTTTTTTATAGCATTCTTATCCTTATACTTTTCATTAGCCAACATAATAGTTTTACATAGTGCACAAAAACATTTTCCCTTCATTTCAAAACATAAAATTTTTTTTGATATAAATTATCGTAANTTGACATTTTGGTGTAACTTGAGTGGCTATTTGTGAAATTAACCCGTTAAAAATATAACATAAAAAAAGATTTTAAGGTAATTACATTCACACCACAATTTTTATTTATTGCATCACTTTTAATTGTACTTAAGGTTCTTAATCTTTACTCGTTATAACATTTATGTCCCTAAGGATTTTTTTTATAGCATTCTTATCCTTATACTTTTCATTAGCCAACATAATAGTTTTACATAGTGCACAAGAACATTTTCCCTTCATTTCAAAGCATAAATTTTTTTTTGATATAAATTATCGTAAAGGACGAGATATACAAATTAATAGAAAGTTGTAGATAATAATTTGATGGAAAAAAAAGTTAAGGAAATAATTGCTACAATAAATAAAGATTTAGGAGTTTAATTGTAACTAAAATGTGATATATCAAATAAAAATTATGGTAATAATATAACCACTTAAAATTTAAAAGTGGATAGATATATAAGAATGATGGATAAAAATAGTGACTCTCTATAGTTATTTTATTAAGAGAATGTTAATTGATAATGAATTTGAAAAATAAAAAAAAATTTTAAAATTTTCCTCACAAGGGACCAGCCGACCAGGTTTCATAAAATACCCTAGTAAATTCCAGCCGGAGAGAATTAGGGTTTTCGCTATTCTTTCAGAAGAAATCTGAAATAGAAAGGGAGATTAATTTGATTTCACATATAACTGATCGAAGATGAGGCCAATATTAATGAAGGGGCACGAGAGGCCATTGACGTTTTTGAAGTATAATAGGGAAGGGGATCTGCTCTTCTCCTGCGCCAAAGACCACACTCCGACGGTTTGGTTCGCAGATAATGGCGAGCGTCTCGGCACCTACCGTGGCCATAATGGCGCTGTTTGGTCCTGCGATATTTCCAGTAATTGATTTTCTTTTTCTTTTTTATATAGATGTTAAGTATGTGATTCAGGTTATTATAGAAAAAGAGGCTTTGAACTGTTTTAGGGTGAAAATGAACTGGTATTTATTCAGAACAAGAAAATAACTGGATTTTCAAGGTATTAACATTTTGGTGTTTTATTTACACACGGATTGAGAAGAAATGTGTTCATTGTACATTTTAAATATTTTTTTATATGTAATTGCATAAACTAAAAATTTGGTCGTACTTTTGTATTTGTTGATATAAGAATTGGAAAGAATCTACTACCTTAACATGTGGATTATTACAGAGGTATAGAAAAGGAAACACTAAACAGGAAGAAAATGATTTTGGAGTTGACACTAGTAAAATATGCATGTCATATCTTTATAACATTTTGGTGGTGTCTTGAACAGCCTTGAAAGGGGAAAGTGGGTAAGAGTTAGCTAGGGACTATCAAGCATTATGACATATCAACGTTCCCCATTAAGTTGAGCAATAAGCAAGTGTTTTCATCCTAATACACATTTTGGCTTAGGGAAAACTTGGATGTGAATCTTGAAATCTAGTAGATATGCAGATGGAGAGACAACATAACTTGCATACAAGAGGTGGAATGGGCTGGATAGAATTTAAAAGAATTACGAAAAAAAATAAAAAATTAGTGTACAAAATAGAGGAGGGAGAAATGTAGTAGGAGTAATATATACTGTGTTTAAACAACTATGAGGTACTAGAAGTTAAATGGGCTGGCTGGCCTAGGATTTGATTGTATTAGCTAGACTTGTTAGAAGAAGAGTCCATTTGTGTTATAAATATTTATGCTCCACATGTAGGATCAGATTAAAGAACAAACAAATAATCTTTGGAAGACATGGATAGATGAACGCAACAATTCTAAGACATCTTTGATTTAGGAGATTTGAATAATCATACAAAGAATGGTAATTCCAATATGAAAGACTACACGAAAATTTTGGCTTTGGAGATTCAAAAGGAACATTACACCATTTTGGATTTCAGAATGGCATAACTTGGTGTTAGTCTGTTAAAGATGCAGGCTTTTGATTAAAAACTTATCAAACAGATTTCATCTTGAACTAGAGGTGCATAAGTAGTTCGGTAAGGATTATTCTTTATAGTATGTTATCTAGAGCCTAATTACGCAACATAAGTTAGAAAAGAAATGTTAAAGAAATTCATAGAACAAAATGTCATAACTACTCGTACAATGAAATAAAAGTGGCTTTTAAGGATATAGTTCTATATGAAAGAAACGATATATGTATGGAGATAAAAATTTGATGTGGGATTCGCTATGATGCACGAACACTTCTACTAGGAATGGCGTGTCCTGACGTATCTTATTGTGTCCTATCGGATATCGACACTCTTTGGACAATCTATGACTTAGGTCCCACACCACATGCCGTGTCTTATTATTTATATTTTTTTAATCTTCTTGAGCTTGATGATACTTTAGGAACATTCTTCGGCATGTGTTCCCCATAGAATGTTTCTTATCCTATAATAAAAAGTATAAAAATAATAATAAGAGATATAAATTTAAAATTTTATGATATTTATATCTAGGTGTCCTTGAAGTGTCTTTGTCCTACTTGTTTATAAGAAATCACATGTTGTCATTTTTGTAGTTGTCTATGTCCATTTCCGTCAACTTAGGGCATGAGGTTGTTAACTGCATTGGGAATCTTAAAAGAAAGTATTAGGATAGTCCAAGGGTAGAAACCTAATGAAGAAATGGGGTGATGAATTAAGATGGTGCCAATAACACTTGAGGCTAAAAGAGAATGTTATAGAAACTAATGAAAATATAAAAATAAGGATGTTCTTGAAAATCACAAGCTAGCTAAATTGGAAGCAAAGAGGGTGATTCAACACTTGCTAGTCAGAGCTTATGATGAGTTCGATAATAGTGGGGGAATCAAGGATGTGAAGGAGTCATTTCTACAACATCTTGGTTGAAGGAAAAGGTTAATATTTAAACCAAGCTAGTTTATTGAGGATGAAAACTATGGTGTTATTTCGTTGTGATGAAATCATAAAGTTGGTGAAAATATTTTGACAAGCTATTTAGTGGAATACCTCAATCTTGGGGACCTATGAAATTCTATTGTAAATGGAAGTGCTACCACAATCTATATTAGACAGGTTCGGGTGGCATGAGGGAGGCTATGTGGAGAATGCAAATGTGAAATAAAATTGGTTTTGATGGATGTTCTTTTGAAGTGTATGGATTTCTTAGTGAGGTGGGTCATGGTATGAAAAAACCCTGCTGAGACCCGCCTTGAGACCCGCCTCACTGT